TTTGGCTCATATCACTCAGAAGAGTAGGTTAGCTTCAGGCATGGCAGGATCTGGTGGCTGAAATGATGTGTCTGGGACTTGATTCTGCACCCTGTCACTTTACCACATAGATGAAGATCAGTTCGTCTGGGGCTACTGCAGCGTGAGATGCCAGAGATGCCACTGACTGTGGCTAAGGTGTCCCATGCAGCCTCACTCCTGCTTTCCAAATCCTGGCCTTGTCTCCAGGGCTCAGACCTGGGCTGCCTCTCCAGCCCCTAACCAGACACCTTCTTCCTCTGCCCCATACTCATTGGGCTGATGTTGTAGGGGGTGTTCTGATGCCCACTTTGTATGTGAAATCTCTGGATTCCTGGGGAACCTGGGTATAGGGATCCAGGGTAGAAGAAGCAGTCCTGCCTCTCAGCATTAGCCTGGTTGTCACAAGCAGGGCCTCAAATGCCGCTGTGACGTTTACCAGCTGTGTGACCTAGGGCAAGTGGCCTAACCTCTCTGAGCCTCGGTTTCCTCATCTGTGAAGAGGAGGATTTCCTAGAATTGTTTTGAAGATTAAGTGAGATGGTACATGTAAAGCTCTTAGCACAGAGAGTAAACCCTCAAACATTAGCTGCTTATATTCTGCTTCTTTTTTACCACCAATGAAGGAAATTCTACGTGGGGCTTTTGTCTTTAGAATGAAGATACTATTACTGATAGCTACCATTTATTGTATACTTACTATGTGATAAGCACTTTACAGTTATTCCTCGCAACAGCTCCTTGCAAATGAGGAAACCAAGGCCTGAGGGATTCAATTCTTTACCAGGGACACATGGCTCCTCAGTGATAGCGCTGGGCTCACCCACACCTGTCTGACTCCCAAGCTCTAACCACTGCTCTACCCTGCATCTCTGGAATGAGATGGGGAAATAGAAAATAAAGGGGCCTTAAGTCATGCTTTTAAGGATATATGACTCAAGTCAATGCTGGGGGGGAAAAGAAGGGAGGAATGTACATGAAAGAAATACTTGAGGGACTTACACTAAAAAGTGCAGTGTTTTCCTCTGAGTGGTAGAATTATGAATAATATTTCTTTTTAGTGTTGTTCTGTGTGGTCCAATTTTTCTACTGTTGAGTACTTGCTACTTTGTAGCTAGGAGGGGATATAAAATTCTACCCTGAAACAGGAAGCCCAAGTTTAAGCTACCATAAGCCAGTTTGAACAAGTTATAGAATTAATAATCATGATTTGAGCAATTTTCCCCCAAATTGCCTCATTTCTGCAAACCTCATATGCAGCTTGTTTATCTTGGGCCACCCCAGGCGCCAGGCTGAGACTTCCAGGCAATATTGGGCCTAGTCCAGCCCGAGGAGTGAGGTGTGTAGAAACGACTGTGTACTAGGAGACCTGGGATCTCTCCTGGATCTGGCACTTACCTGCTGAGAGACATTAGGCCAGCTACTTAATCTCTCTTAGTCTCAATTGCCTCTTCTGTCAAATGGGTGTAATAAAAACTTACCCTTCCTACCTCTTTAGGTGGTGATACCAATGGGTGTGAAAAATGGTAGTCCCATCCCCATGTGGAGGGAAACCCTGTAGGCAGCCAGGGGTCTTCAGGAGGGTGGCAAGGCCTTCTGGTCCAAAATGAAGCAAGAGAAATTCATCGCACTGGCTTTTTGGGACAGAGTATCATGGGGACCGCTCAGGTCACCCAGAGGGTCCCACCCTCTGAGGGGAGTCTGGTCATGGAGGCCCAATATCAACTGGCTTTTTTACGTGGGTTTTTAGTGGTTATTCTAGAGTTTACAATAAGTGTCTTAACTTATCACATTTTACTTTCAAGTGCTATTATACCACTTCAAGTAGAATATAAGGATTTTCCAACCGCATATTTCCATTTTACCCGTCCCATCCTCTGCGCTATTGCCACATAAGTTTTACATTTACATATATTATAAACATCACAATACATTTTTCAGTGTTTTTTCTCCCTCTGCTTGAGTTTGGATAGTTTCTATTGCTGTGTCTTCAAGTTCACTAATCTGTGTGTCTAATCTGCTGTTAATCCCATACGGTGAAATTTTTACCTCAGATGTTATATTTTCATCTCTAGATAGTCCATTTTCTTCTTTTTCATGTCTCCCACTTCTCATTATGTTCCTGTTTTCCTTTAATTTCTTGAAAATGTTTAAAATAGATGTTTTAAAATTCTTTTTGTTAATTTCACCATCTCTGTCACTTTCTGAATCTGCTTCTATTGACTGATTTTTCTCCTGGTTATGAGTCATACTTTCATGCTTCTTTGCATATCCAGGAAATTTTTACTGGATGCTGAATGTTATGAATATTATATTGTTAAGTGTCTGGATTTTGTTGTCCTCATGTAAAGTGTTGGGCTTTGCTCTATTGGCAGTTAAGTTACTTGTGGGTCAGCTTGGTTTTTTTGAGACTTTTTTGGTAAGGAAGGTTGGCTCTGAGCTAACTAACATCTGTTGCCAATCTTCCTCTTTTTGCCTGAGGAAGATGGTCCCTGGGCTAACATCTGTGCCCATCTTCCTCTACTTTATATGGGACGCCACCACAGCATGGCTCGATGAGTGGTGTGTAGGTCTGTGCCTGGGATCCGAACCCGCAAACCCCGGGCCGCTGAAGAGGGTGTGCAAACTTAACTACTACACTACCAGGCCAGTCCCTTTGAGACTTATTTTTAAGCTGCGTCAGAGTGAGTCTAAAGTAGCCTTCACTCTAGGGCTAGTTTAGCCTACTACCATAGCATGGGCTTCTGGGGTCTCTGCTGAATACCCTAGGTGTTCAGCAAGAACTCTCCACTCTGGCTGGTCAGAACTTGAATATCTCCCAGCCTCGGGTGAGCTTGGGAAAGTGTTCGACTTATGAGCTCCCTGATACATGTTCCTTGCCAAGCTTGTAGAGTCTCACCCTGTTCAGCCAAAGACTCAAGGAGACCCCATTCAGATATCCGGAGCTTTCTTTCTCTCTGTGGTTCTCTCTCTCTCTGGTACTCTGCCCCTCAAGTTCCAGCAGGCTCAGCCTTCCCGAACTTTGATCTTTATCTTATCAGCCCAGTGAAACCCTCTGCTCTGCTTGGGTTCTCCCTCCTGCTCTGAGGTCTGGTAAACGCCTCCAGGCAGAAAGCCAAGGCAATCATAAGACTTGCCGCATTTGTTTCCCTTGTCTCTGGGATCACAGTCCTCTGCTGCCTATTCTCCAGTGTCTGAAATGGCTTGTTTCATATGTTTTGTCCAGTTTTCTAGTTGTTCACCTTGGGAGCTAGCAATTCCTTTTGAGATCCTTCTGGGGGTAGTGCACCAAAAGACTTGTGCAAAAATGGACTTGGGGCTAATTAAAGTCAATGAACCGGCAATAGGGTCATTCTGATCTGCTTCTTAGAGAAACTCAGAATAAAGACCCACAGCCAGCACCAAGTCGAATTTTGCAACAGGAATTATTAGTGCACATCAACTGATGAATGGATAAATAAAATGTGGTATATCCATGCAATGGAATATAATTTGGCAATAAAAAGAAATGAAGTATTCATACATTGTATAATATGGATGAATCTTGAAAACACAGTGCTAAGTGAAAGAAGCTAGTCACAAAAGACCACATCTTGTATGATTCCATTTGATGGAATCATAGAATGGAATGGAATAGATGGAATCCAGAAATGTCCAGAATAGGCATATCTATAAAAACAGAATGCAGATAGGTGGTTGCTTACCGCTGGGGTGGGAGGTGGGGAGTGACTGCTCATGGCTACATGGTTTCTTCTGCAGGAGGAAAAAATGTCCTAAAATTAAACTATGGTGATCATTGCCCAACCTTGTGAATATGCTGAAAAGCATTGAATTGCACACTTTAAATAGGTGGATTATATGATATATGAATTATATCTCATTAAAACTGTTTAAAAAAAGAAATTGTTAGCAATTTTCTCTGGTAGTGAAGGTATTGAAGGAGTGGACGGGGCTGTGGTGAGGTGGAGGACAGGTCTCGGCCGTTGTGTTGGTGTATGTACGTGTTACAAGTAGCAGTCAATCTCGGACTGATAAGTGCAGCCACAGAAGAGTTTACACAGGTCATTGGGGGATGACTAATATTGGATATTAGTCTTAAAATCCATTCACTCTTTCTTAATTACTTCAACTGTAAGAGGATTCTAGCAAAGTTTTGGTTTTATCCCCTCTTTCTAGCCTTCTCTCCTATCCAGAACCTTGAGAGCAGGGAGCATTTATTGAGTGGCCACCATCCACAAGGAGGAGGGACACGAGGGCGTATCTAGGCTTCACCCTGACCTCAGAGGAACCTGAGAACAGGAGAGCAGGGAGTGTCATGTGGCCTCTGAGAACTGTGATGTCACCTTTGTGTCCTCTGTGTCATGTTCAGAGCCACCAGAGTAAGGGTGACACAGTGGTCAAATCCCAGCCAAGGGTAGAAGAGTAGACACACTCCTTCTGTTGCCTTTTCTGTTGTCAAAGATGAAGGTGGTTCATTTTAAGTGAGTCCTCTGCCCTTCATTAAAAGCACTGAGAGTTTTCTGTGAAAGAAAAATGTATGATTCGTTTGCAGGCTTTTTGCAGGGTCTTCAACAAGATACTCCTGAGGAGATGTTTAAATTAAGACCTGAGCTTTGCTTAAAAATCCTAGTGTTAGCATTAATTGAGTGCTTACTGTGTGCCCCTCCTGTTCTAAGTACTTTCAAGTATTATCAACACCTTGTTGACTGATATCTCTTTCACTACATACTGGGAATGTGAAAAGACTGCATTTCTTTTTTCCACTCTTCTGTTTGTCAGATTAATTGTCAGTAATTCAGGTAGATTTTTCCTTCATATTTTACAGTATTAATGCATCAGCTCAGTGATTCAGCATCCCAATTGAACCTAGCCCTCAGCCAACTAGGCCAGGTGATTGGCCCGGGGGCCTCACACGCCTGGTGCTCCCGGTACCGGGTGAGGACAGCGCACTCATCAGATGTGGTGTGTGTGGTTTTCTCTAGGATCATCCACGAAGATGGCTTCTCTGGAGAAGACGTGAAACAGTACAAGCCTGTTGTCTACAGCAACACCATCCAGTCCCTGGCAGCCATCGTCCGGGCCATGGACACTTTGGGCATTGAATATGGTGACAAGGAGAGAAAGGTAGGCCACTGAGCCCATGGGCACAGTGAGGAGAGGGCCTGTCTCTGTTAGCCCACTGCGTTCTCTTTATAACACCAGGCTGCCTTAGAGGGACAAGAAGAGACTGTGCTATACACGAGAGAGAAGGCTAGTCGCCAACCTAAGCCAGTTTACCAGTCAACCTGACAAATAGTCAAACAGGGGCTGCGGTGATGGGCAAACCTCCACGGCAAAGTTGCCAACAAGGACAGCAGCCACAGAATTCCAGGGTTTATTTTGCAGCTGAGAAAGGGTTGGTGACTGTTTTAAATTAGGACTCCGGCAGCACTGTACAAGTACTTGCCCTTGGCAATTAACTTAAACAGAAAAAATGTTTCTTAAACAAAACAAGCCCTACCTGACCACCATCTCCCCTCCTTGGGAAAGCTTTCCTTGCCTTGCTGGGGGTGGGGGCAGCCATTTGAATTGGCTCTCTTTCTTCCTTTAACCGAGGAGGTGTTTCCTGCCTCTCCCAGGTGAGTCTGAGGACCTAAGGGGCTCTCCTTTCTTTAGGAAGTCGACATCCCAAAACAGGGACTGTTTTTCAGTTGTGTTTCCAGGCCTCTGATAAGTGGTGAATGGAATAAGTATATAAAAGTCTTGTTTGCAAACATTTGCATTAACTGTAAGACTGAACTATATAGAGCTACACTGGTAAAGCTAAATAAAAGGGAGAGAAGGAAAACAGCCTTGGAGAATTCTATCCAGAAGTGACTCTTTGTCCCCTGGTGGGATTCTGAATCCCAGCGATCCCGTCCCTGTGACCTGGAGTGTGGAGAAGGGGGCAGGTGGAGCCCTCCGAGCGCCTGGGCCCTGCGCTGGGGCCTCTGGGTGGACAGCATTAATCTCTGATTACTGTGTGATTCGGTTGTGCATTATATGCATGTCCCGACTTTGCTAAAAATCATCTCCGTCACAGAGGAAAACCATCCTCACCTTCTCTGGGTCTGATAAATCATCTGTGACAGATAGCTTTAAATGTGAAATTCAATATTTTATGCACAAAATCCTAATTCCATGGGGCAGAGTCATCCCAGCTCAGGCATTGGCTCCTTCGGGTACTGGGGAATTGGGTGACAGAGTGTGTCTGAGGCCAGGCCAGGATGGGGAAGCCAGCCTGGAAGACAGGCAAGGGCTGGGTCCCTTGCTCCTCAGGGAGGCGGAGTCCAGAAGCTGGTTCTGCAGAGGAAGCTCTTATCCCCCGGGGGACGGGCTTTAGTTTTGGTCATAGAGCTGGGGCCTGTGGAAAGAGGCACACAGCTATTTCTTCAGTCCTGTTTCCACGAAGCATTCACTGAGGGCTTACGACGTGCCAGGCATGCTGGTTGCTGGGGATACGGACATGAGCACCTGGGAGTGGTGTCTGGAGAAACCAGTAAGCAAATACCTACTCAGATCACCAGAATTAGCCAAGAGGGTTACAGGACCTTACTCATGTTGATTATACTGGCCACAGGGGTAATACAAATGGCCCTCATCTGTTGAGCACCTGCTCGCTGCCAGGCACTGTGCTAAACACTTTACATGTATTAACTGATTTTAATTAACTCAGGGTTAAAGCCCAGAACAGGAAATGTCTGGTCTGATGGTCAGACACAGGACAGGCCACAGGCCTTTGGTCTCTGTCTCCCGTTTGGCCAGAGAGAGCATGGTCCCTGAATCTCCATTAACCAGATGACAGACACAGTGCAAAAGGCTCATGCGTCCACAGCACACACCTTGCACACAAGACACACACACACACACACACACACTGGGAGATCTTCCAAGAGTGTGTGTGTTCACCACCATGCCCACCTCCCAACCAACTCTTCCTTCCCCAAAATCTCCTGCCCTGATTATGTATGACCTAGAAAGTCAGTGGGACTTTGGAATGCTTTTCTCCTTCAGTTTTGGGAAACATTAACTGTTCCTGTGGGATTTTTTTTTCCGTTTTATTAGCCTGAATAGAGAGATGATTGCTTGGGAATAGCTAGTAATATGATATATTAAGAACTATACTGCAGGGCCCCTGGGGCCTCTGTGGCTGTTTCTTCTCTGTGGGATTTCCCAGTCAAGACAGCCCTCAAGCCAGGAGGACAGGGAAGGCTCCAATGGAAACGGAGACTGAGAACAGAGTGGATACTCCCTGGAGAGTCTCCTGGACACACAGTAGAGTTGGAACCCAGTTCTCTTATGGCAGGTGGCACCATGGCAGGCTCCTGACCCATCCCCAGGGTGGTACAGGCTTGTCAGGCACAATCCTGGCTGGCAAAGGCCTCCGGGCACTCAGGCACCTCTTCCCTGTGTTATTTCACCCGTGAAGAGCGAGAAAGGAAAGTTGAGCCAAGACTCAAGCCAAAGTGAGTGGGGCAGCTAGAGAAGGTATTTCCTGGGAGTGGGCTGGTGTGGATTTGCAGTCTGGGGACTGGGCGCAGGGAACCCCATATATTAGCGGGGGGTAGGGGAGCACAGGGTACAGCTTCTTCAGACAGAGTAGCCAGGGAAGGTTTCCCTGAACCTGGAAAGGGATTGGAACTTGACCACAAGAAGGAGCCAGCCGTGGGAGGAAGAAGAGACAGAGGTTCCAAGCAAGCACCAAGGCTCTGAGCCAGGAGTGAGCCTAGTGTGTTAGGAGAGAGAAAGCTTCTGTTCAGCCTGGATTGCACCCTGGGGGAGGGGTGGGCTCTGGGGTATTGGACACCCTCCAGTCAGGTCTGCCTGCAGCTGGCCAGTTATTGGTGCCCAGATGCCCCGACCCCAGGTCTGGGTCTCCTCACTCTTTCCTCTCTCAGGCCCCCAGGGGTTGCCCACCTGGGGATCTGCTGTTTGGATGTTGGGAAAACTGCCCCATGAAGAACAGACCCAGACTGGTATTTTGGTCTCTAAAGAAAAGACCTCCTTCCCTCTCTTGGCTTCCCCACCTCTGCCCTCCTCCATCCTCCCCCTGCCCATCATGGGGTACCTGGAGGAAGACAGCTCCATACCCAGCTTCTGCTTGCTGTCAGGGGAAGCAAGAGGGAAGCTGGCCCAGCCAGCTTTGCCCGCTTCACACAAAGAAGCATCTAGAAGCTCCCTTGCTGTGCCTTATTTGAACAGGTGTCCCTGACTTCTCCTGGCAGCTGGCTCACCACCTGCCCAGGCCCCCCAGTGGAGGGAGGACTGACTGATTTTTTCCTTGGCCTCTCTGTGGTGTAGACTCACCTGAGGTCACATGACTGTGCATGAGACCAAGTTTAAAAAAGTCTCAGCATGGGGCAAAGAGCGGGGACCACCTTACATTAGTCTGGGTCTTCCATATGCCATGCCCCAGCCTCACCAGACCACGGACCCCTCCCCAAAGACACCACCTACTCCCATGCCTCCAGGCCTTGACTCAGGCCATTCCCTCTGCTTCTAATGTCCTTCTCCCCTTCTTTTTCTCCTGAAACTCCTCCCATTTAGTGAGGACCAGCTTAGCTCCCATCTCTTCCATGAAGCCTTCCCTCTTCCTTTCCCTGACAGCAAGACTCAGCTCAGTGCTCTCTCTCCTTTGAGCACTCACTCATGCACTGGTATGAAGACTGCTTGTTTGTGTCACTCTTTCCTTAGAGCAGTGACCCTTGCACTTTAGGGTGGTCAAAACCCATTTGAGCAGCTAACGAAAGCCTGAGCCTTCTCTCCAGAACAGTGCACACATGCACGTATCTAGAAAGTTTTGCGTACAATTTCAGGGGGCTCTAGAACCAGTAAAGCCCACCAATGGAGCCTAGAGTAGGAACTGCTTCATAATTTAAGGTCCTTCTGCTCAAGGCCTGTGTCATTCATCTTTGGGTCATCTCTTCACCCCAACAACCAGCACAGTGCTGAGCACATAGTAGGTCTTCAAAAGCACATCCCTTGAGTGAAATGACATTTCTAACTTTCCCAGTTCTCAGAGAAAAAAGGAAAAGTACCTATAATTTCATCACTAAATAAACTGGTGTTGATTGAGTACCTACTGCGAAGCCTACTCAAAGCCTACTGTGTAGGCTTTGTGCTAAGCCCTGCGTAAAGATTCAGAGGCAGGTGAGATGGGGCCTGTAAGGAGCTGGTCATCTTCTTGGGAAGACAGGGCTCACAGGCTGAATGAGCACAGCCATTCCACAAGGTGGTCAGGGAAAGCTTCTTAGGGGAAGTGAGGCTGGAATTGTCCTTGAAGCAGAGATGTGGCTTGACAGGGGCAGATGTGGGTAAGGAAAGGGTCTTGAAGCAGGGAAGAACATGAGTAAAGGCCATGGGTTGGTAGTGACCAAAGGAGATTTGCTCCAGTGGCCAGAACCGAGGGTTAGGGCGTGGGCAAGATGTGGGAGGGTTAGAAGAGCCAGTCAGGTCAGATTGGGAGGGAGATTGAGCCTTGGAAGGGATGCCAAGGAGTTTGGGTTTTATCCTATTGGCAGTAGGCAGCCATTGATAGATTCTCAGCTGGGGAGGGATGGGATGAGAGTGTTTTAGGAAATGATCATGATGGTGTGTGCAGGGTGGACCAGTGTGGGGAGAGACTGAAGGTGGGGAGGCAGGTTGGGAAGCTACAGTAATTGGCCATACATGAGGTATGAGGGTCTCAATGGGGTGGAAAGGAAGGGCAGCAAGGTGAGGTGTGGAGGCAGAAGAAGGAAAGGGGCCTGGTGATTAGTTGGCTGCTGGGGCAGAAGGGTGAGGATCAGGAAACTGGTTCTCTAGTGTGACCAGGCTGGAGGACTGGGAGCAAGATGGAGCCCCCGGGGGGAGGGGGACAGGGCTGGGCTGGGCCAAATGTGGTGAGTCTCATTTCAACCAAATGGGCTTCCAGGTGGGAGCGATCAGTAGATGGACTCAGAGAAGTGAAGCTCCAGGAATTAAAGATGATGATAATAGTGGCTTTTAATTTTTATGTTCCGGGGCCTGTTTTAAACAATTCACATGAATTAAATTATTTAATCCTAACAACTCCCTGTACAGTGGGTGATATTGTTATCCCCATTTTACAAGTGGAAAAAATGGGG